AGACTAGGATGGGCAGCAGTGTACCGACACCATGTTCGCGAAGAGTGAAAACGCATCGACACGTGACACAAGGTCTTTGTGCCGACTTGTACCGGCTGCGCAGCAATTTCTGCCAAATGTAAACCTCGAATCCCCCATCCTCCAATCGCACACCTACAAGCCAGAAAGCCTGCAGACATCTGCACGCCCGACCAGGCAGCTCGACTCAGTACGTATTGTCTTTAGCTCACAGCATACGTGCTCGTCAAGAGAGTTAATCACGTTACTGACATCACGGCAAGCGGGATAAGCAATAAAGTGGCATTGCACCACCAGCCGCACAGAACCGATGCAACATGCAACAGACAATTGAAGGGAGCAGCTCACCTTTGCCAACATGTGGCGCAAAGCATCCTCGAGCGGTCTTTCACCATCGCAGCATCTCACGACTTCAACTGGCAGCAAAGCAGATCGACTTGAACACTAGCATCGTTCCGCATGCCTCGAACTGTCAATCCAAAGTGGGAATTCGTGCAAGCCTGCCTGGTGTTTGGCATGGGCATGACATGGCCGCTAAGGACATGCCGTTCGACACAGAGCGAGCGAGAGAGAGAGAGAGAGAGAGGGAGCCCATTTTTTTCACAGCCCTGCAAGCCGGCGCTCCGGCAATGTGTGCTTGTGCAGTTGCAGGTGCCCGGCTCGTCCGAGACTGCGCCATTCCCTGAAATGTCCAGGTCCGTGATTTGTCGACCTGGAAATTGGAAACGGACATGACCAGTGCAGACCCAACGTGCCAAGAGTCTCCACATTATGATTCAACAAAGAGATGACAGGCTTTCAAACCGTTACAGTGTGACCAAGGTGTCGGCCCACCACGCTGCCCAGGAATATCGCCAGCCTCAGTGAACGGAATCAATAGCCACCCCTCAAGCCAGGCTCATTTGAAACCATACTTTGGAGAGCACGATCCGAACATGTAGTTTAACTTTCAATGGTCGGCCGCAGATGGCACATGCAAGGTCTGCACGCCCAACCCCCCACCGCAATGAACTGAGACATCCGGCTCCTCGAATGCTGCAGTTGGCATTGCGTTCCGAGCCAGGTCCAGCCTGCTGTCGCCATACGGTTGTGAAGATCCAGAAAGACCAAGTTACAAAGTTCGACATGCTCCAGAAGCCTCTCTGTAGCCACAATCTGCATTCCCGTAGGCTTGGTCTCACGAAAGCCCACATCAGCCTCTGAAGTGGCAAGTGGCTTCCAGTCGTGGCCAAGCATGCACATAGCACCTGATCAGTGGGGACATGTATGCTGATATTACGTGTGAGCCTCCGCAGTTCTCCGAGACATGTGTTGAATGAACTGAAAAGCGTTTGTCTGTCTGTCTGTCCGTATGTCACATCCTAAACAAATCGAACTCTGTGGTTGTTGATTTCTGCCGCTGCTGCTCACTCTCACTTACTCAGTCATTCACTCACTCTCTTGCGTGCTTCAGAGCTAGCGGGCTATGCCCCCCCCGAAGGGGCTCCAGTCTGTACTGCGTGCTGCGCACGTCGGCGTGAGACTTCTGGGGACACCTTTAACCCAGCCTCAAAGCCTCCCTCGCCTCCATCCCCAACCAAACCGAAACTCGCACGACACTGCCTCACACCTACCTGCCTGCCTAAAAACTCCCGCCCTGACCCTGGGGTCACTCTCTTTCTATCTCCCTTTCTTTCGCCAGGGTTAGGGGCAAGAGGATTGCTCCCCTTACCCGCGCGCTAGTGCGCCCCCGACCGTTGTGGAGTCTCTCTCTCCCTCTCTCTCTCTCTCTCTCTCTCTCTCTCTCTCTCCGGGGCATAGGGGCAGGTCAATGCCCCCGGGCGCCAGGCCCACCCAATGCTTTATTGGGTGCAGGGGTGTGAAAAAAGGAACGTAGATTGTCAAATGCTCTCTCTCTCTCTTG